ATATCGTCAAATAGAACTGCCCGGTAAACCGTAGGCAGAGAGGGAGAAGAGGACAACAAACGAGGGGCTGTGACAAACTGTTTCGTCAGAGTTTCACCGACTCATCAGGAGGCTGAACCTCAGCACCTACTCATCAGGAGGCTGAACCTCAGTATATACATAGTCAGACAGAGCTGCCCAGTAAACCGTAGGCAGAGAGGGAGAAAAGGACAACAAACGAGGGGCTGTGACAAACTGTTTTGTCGGTGAACTCATCAGGAGGCTGAACCGTCAACAGTCTGCATAATCCCCTGACTGATTACACTGTAAGTGATAATCCACCTTAACCCTGGCTGTGGTTAAGCATCAACGAGTTCCCCACAACTGATACCCTGAGATGGGCACCAACCATATATCCACATTATATTATATATATACACTCATAAATATCGTCAAACAGAGCTGAAGAACAGTCGAAATGACAGTGACAGTGAGACCGTCTAGTCAGATTGTGCTCGTGCTCCGTGTTGACAGCGAGGTAGAGCGGATCCGTATACGAAAAATGAGACTCACAGCATTTTCACACCGTTCCTTGAATCCCCCTCACATCCTCATTCCCATTCATTCATCATCCATATCATACATGACTGAAAAATCACATACGAGTTCCGCATAGATCGAGGATAATAAAAACCCTTCGTGAATTCCAATAGAGACGCTTTGGCAGCGGTACATGAAGCTCAGAAACAAAAAGCGGTCCACTTTTGTTACTACGATCCTCTCCGAGCGATGCTTCGTGAAGCTCAGCGACCGTGATGAGAGCCGCAGCGTCCCACACCCCTCATCCCGGTGTTTGCCCGACTAGGTTTTGCTGTCGCCAGAGAACAGCGTCATCAGGGGTACTGTCAGTCGAAAGGTAAGTTTGTTCTCTACTTCTCTGCTATAAATACTACCACTATGCCTTGGTTTCAATTTGAAAACCTTCATTCGTGCTGCTTGTAGATCGTGGCGCCCCTTGTTTTGTTCGTTCTTTACTTTTTGCCCAGGCCAACTGATTCCTGCCTCAGATCCCGGTTGGGTTCCCGTCCCCGAAAATCCCAAAGTCCTACTTCGTTTTAGCGCCAAGTTTGAAACATCCAAAGTCCTAAAAAAGGTACCACAAAGCCGCTTTTTTTACTGGAACTCTCTCGAATTCGAAAATGAATAACAAAGAACAATAAAAGTAACCTGTTCTGTGTGCGCACCTCCGAATTCGCCACGCCGCCAGTCCAGTTCGTATCGTGCCGCTTGTCACTTTTCCAGCGCGAGTCATTCAACCTAGCCACACAGCGTGCGCTCCCATATGCCCCCTCCTTCCTTTTGGAAAATTTCTTGACCTGGTTGTCGAAGAACCGGGCTGGGAAGTTCAGCACTCTTGGTTCCATTTTCAGTCCCAGTGCGGGTCCCACGTCCATTTTGTCCGGCATGTGTTCCCATATCCGGTTCACGCAGCCTGTGATGACGACCCTCTTAGTTCTAGTGGCCGTGTATGACTCGAAATCTTGCAGGGCTTGAAAGGTAATAGGTCCCCCTTTCAGGCCTTTAAACCGTAGGCAGGGAGGGAGAAGAGGACAACAAACGCGGGGCTGTGACAAACTGTTCCGTCGGAGTTTCACCGACTCCTCAATCAGGAGGCTGAACCTTTAACAGTCTGCAGAATCCCTTATAACTGATTACACTGTAAGTGATAATCCACCTTAACCCTGTTTCGTCAGAGTTTCACCGACTGATCAGGAGGCTGAACCCTCAACAGTCTGCAGAATCCCCTAACTGATTACACTGTATGTGATAATCCACCTTAACCCCGGTTGTGGTGAAGCATCAACGACTGCCCGACAACTGATACCCTGAGGTGGGCACCAACCACTGCCCTCAAGGTACCTGTGACGAAAATCAAAGCAGACTATCACTCACCCACACCAGATGGAAAACTCTACAGACTGTCGGTTCACACCCCATCACAAGCCAGCGAAACACCCAGGACACAAAGAAAGGGCTGTCACAGCCAAAAAATACACTCCAGACACCCCGCAGAGCTGCCCGGTAAACCGTACGCAGAGAGGGAGAAGAGGACAACAAACGAGGGACTGTGACAAACTGTTTCGTCGGAGTTTCATATATATAGTATATATCGTCACAAACAGAACTGCCTGGTAAACCGTAGGCAGAGAGAGAGAAGAGGACAACAAACGAGGGGCTGTATATATATATATATATATCGTCACAAACAGAACTGCCCGGTAAACCGTAGGCAGAGAGAGAAGAAGACAACAAACGAGGGGCTGTGACAAACTGTTTCGTCGGAGTTTCACCGACTCATCAGGAGGCTGAACCCTCAACAGTCTGCAGAATC